GTGAACCACTTTGACAAAGCTCCCACCAAACATATTTTTGTATTGCAAAAAGGCATAAATTACCCCAACGGTTGTTTTACCATTGAGCACAAGATACGCACCGTAACCGGTAATAATCAGCTGTTCAATGCTCATGATGGCCTTGCTAACAGAGTCAAAACCCAGCATAAACAAATCATTCGCGCGGATGGCTTGGAGTTGTTGCGTAAAGGCATTCGCCCACATATTACTGCGGGATGCCTCGTTAGACAGTAGTTTAATGGAATGTGCTGAGCGAATATTCTCAATCAAGACCGCTTCAGCTTCAGCACCTCGATTTAATGTTTGTGCTACGGCATCGCGCAGTCGAGGCTGAACTGCAATCCGTGTTAAAGCAAACAAAATCAACAGTCCTATATTTATCAAGCCCATTTCCAAGTTATAGAACAACATCAAGCTACCCGTAACGATCATGGTAATGACGGCCATGTAACTCCCTAGCACCCCATTGATCAAAAAGCTACTGATCTCGCCTATGGACCTTACGCGGGATAAGGTATCCCCTGTATTGCGGAACAAGAAATAAGTAATGGGCAGTCGGAAGAGGTGACTCACCACACCACTTGAGAGTTGCTGCAGCATCGTGTTACGCAGATAACTACTCACATTGCCGATCACCCAGCCATAGAGAACATCAAAGAAAAATATGACCCCAAAAATGATCGTTAACAGTATCACGACATCAATATTATTTTTACCTATGGCATCATCTATCATGCGCTGAACATAGGAGGGACCAATTAAGCCAATTAACTGAGATACAAATCCAGCCAACACCCCTAAAATTAACGTGTCTTTAAGTCCATTTAAAGTGTTAACATAGTCCCATAAACCCACGCTTTTTTCTTTTTTTTCTTTTTTAAAGCGGACATCAGGATTTAACTCTAGGGCGTAGCCTGATAGTTGGCTCACCACTTGTCCCATATGCAAGCGCCTCTGCCCAATGGCCGGATCGGCAATAAATACGGTATTCCCCTTAATACGCTCTAGCACAACAAAGTGATTGTGTCCCCAGTGAAGAATACAGGGTGTTTTGAGCTCTACGATTTCATGTGCTTCGAACTGTAAAGCTCTAGCCGTCATGCCCAGATCATTGGCAATTTCGGATAAGTCAAAAAAACTCAGCCCCGAGTCTATCTTAACGGGGTACCGGTTGCGCAAAAACCGCAACGATAATTCTTTTCCATAATAATCCGCAATCATGGCTAAACAAGCTAAGCCACACTCCGTGACCTCGTCTTGCAATACGATTTTGACTTTTTTTCTTAAAAATATGGTGTCTAGCAAACTCATAAAGTGCTTTTTTGTTTAGGCTTATTAATTATACTATACCGCTGTACATAAACTGATTTTCAGAAACACCGATTCATTTCATTCGCGGCTTATTACATCGTCTGGTCGGTTTTGGATGACTCTGCCATATCACAATGACTCTTCTTACCCTTTTCTTTGCACTCAATAATTCTGCGACATATTTTTTGCATATAACTGTAGCAGATCGAAAAAAACAGGTCGCATCCTCTATAGAAATTTGCTATGAGTGCAATCTTACGATCTGAGCAATATGACAACGTTAATGTTGAACTGTTGGCAACGGACTTCGAGTGCTTAAAAACAAACCTAGAGAACCCGTATGGTAACAAAAAAAGAGCCTTTTGGCTCTTTTTTGAGGATATTTTTCACATTAACTGTCTGGAAAAATACTTCCCTCCCCTGGGAATTGTTGGTCAAACCCCTTGCCAGATTGTGCCTTGGCTTGACGCTTTGACGGCTGGCTAAATATTTGTTTCACTTGTTTACTCGACTTACCTGTATCCAAGCGGCGCACAAATGGCGCGCCAACGATCAAGCCCCCCGCGACTTCCCCGATACTGACACCACCTCGCAGTGACACCAAGAGTTTTTTACTACAAATTTCACGCATAAAACCCCCCAACAAAATGGAATCAAAAAAATTGAAATCAAACAACTCAACTTTAAAAACACTTCTGTCGTACTCCAGTACTTTTAAAGTTGGGTTGTTCCCCGACCGTTACACAAAACACGGCCGGGAGAACATCGGTCAAAATTACTTCTTGGCTTGAGAAGTACCGTCAGTTGAGCCGCCAGCTTTCTTATCACCGCTACCACCTGAACCACCTTTTTTACCGCCCGTACCGCCACTGCCACTATCCTTGCCTTCTTTGCCGCCACCCAAAGTGGTTAACAATTTACCACCCATATCCATCAAGTCTGCTACAGTGCCCAACAAGCCACCACCAGTTACTGCTTTTGATTCGAGATTTGTTAAATTTTTCATATAAACTCCTTAAAACTTTGATAAACAAGATTCACGTCAATTAAAAAAAGATCATTCCGGGAGGGGCCACGCCACCGCTTGGAGCAGGTGCTGAGGGAGTGCTACCACCACTAGGCTTTTTACCACCAGATGAGCCACCTTTTTTGTCATCGCTTGTGCCACCACTTCCAGAACTTGGTTTTTTGCTTGAAGACCCAGTTCCCTTACCCATTGCCAACTCCAGTTGACGCAACGCCGAAGCCTCCTGCGACAAAAAAGTGCCGAGTTTGGGTAAACTCATTGCCCCTCCGAGTACGGAGCGACTTTCCCTACATGTCAAATGTTTCATTACAACATCTCCTATTCAATGAAAACTTACTTACCTGATTTTTTATCGCCAGATCCACCAGCACCACCAGATGCTTTTTTGTCACCTGAACCGCCGCTACCGCCCGCCTTTTTGTCGCCAGTGCCACCTGTGCTCGCTGAGTCTTTGCCCATTGCAGACTCTAATGTGCGAAGGGCAGTAGCTTGCAGCGTCATAAACTTGCCCAAGGCGGCCATATTCAATGCGCCACCCCGGACTTGTTGAGCATTTACTTTTGCCAATTCTTTCATCAATCTCTCCTTAAAAATAAATCAAACCAACCAATTTCCAACTTAGCCGTTTAACAAAAGCTGTTATAACGATTTATAGCACAATTCACAAACCATTTGTAATTGATTTGCAATTGTTAACAATTTGATTCCTACTATCATAAGAATCAAAACCCAACAATTAGCTACTAGCGGCTTGACGCGCGCTCTTTTCCCCTTCACTTTCCTTGCCTACTGCAGCTTTAGCATCAGCCTTACTCGCTTCCTTTAAGTTTTTGTCTGGATTTAACGTGTTCATTACCGTTTGCAAATTTGCCAAGATTGGGGCCAATGCAATAAACACCATCTCAATACCGCCACCACGAACGACTTTAGACTCGATGCGCTTTAATGTTTTCATAAACTTTCCTAATCCTGTTGTTTGGCAATACAGCTAGCCTATTACTACCCTAGTGTCACTTGTTGCTTTTCTTGCTACTTTGCTTATCGCTGGGCGGCTTAGTTGCCTTTGCGGATTGCAAAGCTACACCCAAAGCCACCAGCGTAGAAGCCAAGCTAGCAAGTGATCCACTCATATCCCCACCTCGCACACGCTCTGCTTGTTTTTGCAAAAGCTGTTTCATCTGGGCTCTCCTTCTATGTTTATTGATCGCACACTACATATAGCGGACTCTCAGTGTATTAAAACTTACACTAATTTGATATTAGGGTATACACCTAAAATATTTAAAGAATGTTAAATCACGGCTCACACCCACGATCTACTAAAGCCATAAATATACCGTCAGGTATGACCATAACAAACTAGTGTTTTGATAGAGAACTGCCATCATCTGTTTATTGGCCTACCGCAGAACGAATAAGATTGTCTGTATTGGCAAGTGTTTCAACAGACAAGAGATTATCCAAATACAACAACCGCAAACGATTCGACAAGATCTCAAAATAGGTCCGAATCACTTCTTGGCGCACATCAGAAGTGGTCTTTTCAATTCGAAGCACATCTGAAGTGGTGGAGAATCCAGAAGTTTGTGCCTTATGTGCAGCGTAATACGCCTTACGACTGGCGTCATAGGCCGCCTTTAACCCCACCAAATTTTGCGCCGATGCGGTCATACCATTAACGGCTGCATAGCGTTCGAGCCGCCA